ACCATCCTTCTTGAGTCCCCCAGCCGTAAGAGGAGCGTGTTACTGCCTTTTGCTCTTAAAGATAGGGAGGTGCTCAACTGAAGGCTCACATGATGCTTTGAAGAAATCAATTATGGTAATAAAGTCAAAATTACTACTTTTGAGCTGCCTACTCACAGGCAGAAGAAAATTAAGCTTCCTGAGCTGAAGAAAGAAATGAGGGAAAGAAAGACACAGCTACTTTTGGTTATTATCTGGCAATACAAGTTTTTAATGTGAGCCTTCCAGATCTTGAGAGGCCAGGCTCTTCTCAGTGGTGTGTAGTGAGAGGACAAGGAGCAATGGCATAAAACTTAAATACAGGAAGTTTCATACAAACATGGAACTTCTTTATGGTAAAGGTGGTGGAGCACTGGAACAGGCTGCCCAAAGACGTTGTGTAGTCTCCTTCTATGGAGATATTCAAGACATGTCTTGATGCCTGCCTGGGCAACCTGATGTAAGGAACCTGTTTTAGCAGGGGGTGGACTCATGATCTCTTGAGGTCCCTTCCTGCCCCTGCAATTCTGTAATTGTGTGAGATGTTTAGAAGCAGTAAGGATTAGCGAAATCACTGCTGCTGATCTCAAGAACCACGTTTGGTTGGTCTGGTTTGTTTGCACTTCCACTGATTCTGATTTCTTTGGGGCTAAACAAGGGAAGCACTGAATACCTACCTCTATCCTTGCTAAGCCTTCTATTTGAGCTGAGCCAGAGCACATGCAGAATGGGACTTCAGGGGACTTCAGCAAATGTAGTTCTTTCTTTCTGCCAACGCCCAAAGGGAGCTGCATGCTTAGCACATCACCACCCTGCCCTGCAGGGAGGAGTCAGATTCAACCAGGCTTCCAGTGACTGCCTATGGGAAATGTTACAGCTTTTAAAGATAATACACAGAGGGCATGGTCCAGTGCAACACTACAGCTGATAGCTGTGCTGTGCCTCTTTTGTGGGGCAAGCTCACCATTAATAAGGAAGGTAGAAGATGAGATCTAGCCCACAAGAGCTGTTATCAGCTGCATAATAATGTATTCTATTTTAGGGGCACAGGACTCAGTAATGTATTAAGCCCCCATCCAATAAATGGAAATAAAAGCATAGATTCGGGGAAAAAGGTCTTTCCCCAGCTGTCAGAAGGACACCCCTGTTTGGGAGCTCACTCCTGTGCACACGGAGGAAGCTTTTTGGGTTTGGTATCAGTGTTCTCCCCTAGCATGGACATTAGCATCCTGGTTACCAGGTAGAAGCACTAACTCTAGATTAAAGGGGATATATATGTTTATGCTATGTGCCTGCATTTTTTTTTTCCCTTTTCCTTTTTCTTTTTTCTTCATTTTCTTTCTTTTTTTTGGGGGGGGTGGGGGTGGAGTGGAAGAGATGTGACTTTAATCAATGAGACTTTAACAATTTTAATCTCAAACAGGGCATCCCAAGTGCCAAGACAGTTTTGAGGTCTTTAGTAACCAGGTCAATGAGGTGGCAGCCAAAGCCAACACTGGGACCTGATGCAACATATTGATTTTTGGTGGTGGTGATGCCTCCGGACCCTCAAGAAATAATAAACCACTCAAACTCAAGTCTGAGAAAAAGCAACCGGTCTACAGGCCCTGAGGCTGTCTTGGTTTCATTTCCACTGTAAATAAACTTCAGGCAGCAAGAATGCCTACATACAAATACCAGTTGTCTCTAGAAATAATTCATAATATAGAACTCTGCAGTCAAGAAATGACAGATGGAAATAAATGTTTTTATTTCTCTGAAAAAACAGCCCAGTGGTCAAGAAATATGCTTTCCTCACTCCCCTTAAAATCAAGTTTTCCTCCCTAGAGTCCCCAAAAAGATGAACATTACAGAAAAATGCATGTGACAATTCATTTAGGTGATGGCAAAGCCCCTGTAAATTAGCGTATCAATCAATTTTTAAAGGGTGCTGTAAAAAATTATGCTCATGAACAGAAGGTTTCTCCTCGAGTTGAAATCAAGGCCTGCTGAGCAGAAAGTAAAATTGCTGAATGGGTGGCTTAGTTTTCAGAGGGGGCTGAACCCCGAGTCGATGGAATCAGCGTTCACACTAGAGAAGGAGATGACGCTGGCACAGCTCCTCCATGAGAAGGGGTGGAAGTGGCAACTGCATTCCCCATGTGCCCACAGTGGTTCTCCAGTCACTGCCTGGCCAGGCTGCTCAGCTACAACGCCGGCAGCAGCTGCTCACCGCACCGCTTCCTCTTGTTGAGTGCAGCGCTGCTGGCAGCGTAACATTTTTAATAAAAAATCAGATAAATTTAAACTACTGCACACATCAAAACTACTGACCTCCAGGAAAGAGCTAACTGTCGTCTGCTTCTTTGTTTTTTTTCCACCTCCCTTCCTGTCTGCTGATCCCTTTTTCTGAAGAGCAACTCAAACACGCGGTGGTAAGCCTGGGCTGAACCCAGAACCAACCTCACTGCCTCTCTCAGTCCACCTCGCTGCTGTGTAGTGTTTGCTGCGCATCTGGCTGTGTTTACTTACGACCTCTGACTTTGTGGCCACACCGTTATCACAGTGACATTCACGTCCAGGGTCAAAGGGTGATTTATGGCTCCATTAGCAATGCGTGTGGCCTTGGTGGGAAGCCACCCGGCCATCCAGGTGCCACACAGAGCACCGAGGTGGCCTTGGTGCTTGTCAGCTTGAACAGGTATGGATACAGCAAGCACAACTGCCAGCCAAGCACAGCCTTCTGCTTTGGGAGCAAGGCAACAAGTATCACAGATGGTAAAAAGTGGGGTGAACATCGAGTGAGTGCCCCTTTTGCCTGCATCTCACATGCAAGGCACCATGAGGACAATTTTGGGGCTGACGTTGCTACCAGCCCATCCAGCTTGCACCAGAGCCCAGGCCCATACTTGTGCGTGGGGGCTGGCAGTGCTGAATCTGGGAGCACCTCTGGGCTCAACAGATGGAAACGTGTCCTCAGGTGCACACAGGGCTGCATCTGGGGAGCAGGAAGGATTTCTGCAGCAAACTGTCCCCAGAACAGCACATCACCTCATGCCAGTACTCGGCGGTGTCTTGTCAGCCTGCAGGACTGGCTTCAGGTCAACATTGTTCAATTCAAGAAGTCTGAAGAGATGTTGAAAGTATTTATTTCCCAGAGTTTGTTTGTTTGTTTGTTTTTTTAATTTTTTTTAGACTTTTCTATGCATACTAACAACCAAAATCTGGGTAGAAAGAGCAAGCATTTATTTGGTATGAGGACTACTTGCTGCTGATTGAAAACAAGCACTTTCAGTGAGGCAGCTGTTTCAGTACTGTGAGTAGACAGATCAGCAACACATTGAAGACCCAATAACCTGCTCAAGAATCTTCATTTATGGAGCCCCCCCTTCCACCCATTTCCATATCTCAGTAGTTTCAAAACCCCATTATAGGTGTTGCCAAAGAGCTATGTAAGTATGCCCTCTGACAAATTTCAATGGAAAACAGAAAAAAAGGGTAGCTTTGAGTTATCAGACTATATTAAAAACCTTATTACATGTATTTACTTTAACAATTTCTTTTTTCTTTTCTTAAATAAATAGCAAAGTGTCACCAAAATGAATGTAACGCCGGCACCATTGCTTCGATAGAAACTTCCATACCGGGATGAGTACACAGTCATATTCTGGAATATTGCATAAAAAGGTACTTCAGAGGAAAGAAAGTGGTTGCTGGTTTATCTCATGTGGCAGAAGCATCTCCCTGGGAGAGGGCCATGTGGTGGCCTCATGGAGTTGGGCTGGCTCTAGGATGGCCTTGCAGGACTCACCCATTGCCTGCTGTCAGCCACGGTGCAGCGTGAGGAGCTGAGGGGCTCACTCTCTAGGGAGAAGAACACTAGGTCTGAACAAGGGAAATGAAGGGCACGAAAACAATCTGGCTGGTTAACATGCAGCAGGGCAAGGTCACTGAAAATGGAAGCTGCCTGCTCTTTAGTTAGAGGAAATGATGCAAGCGTTGTTACATCAACACTTACAAACTCAGGCATCCATTCCAGATGGGTTTCCCTGGGCTGGATTGGTGCTGTTTTTTGAGCTGGTCTCTTCAAACCAGGACAAATCTTAAGGACAGCCCTGAAGGAAGACCCCAAAACACAATGCCCGCACAATGCCTGCTGCCTTCATCTCTGTGCACTGTGCCAGAGCGCAGGGAGTTGAACCCCACCTCTCTGCTCCTGCAGGCTGAAATCAGACCTTTATTACTTTAAACAGAGTTTATTGTATTTAATACATTATAAAATTTGAAAAATTGTAGGAAAGCAGCAGATTCAAACCAGAGCATCTCTACCAAATATTAATTATTCTGGCCCCCTTTGAAAAAACACAAAACAAAATGAAAAAAAAAAAACCAAAAAAAAAAAAACCCAAAAAATTCATTCAAAAGAAAAGTTAAGCTTTCACATCTGTGAGGGCAGACAAAACGTGTGCGACTTCTGTACAAACTACATTTAAAATTTCATTTGAGTAGCTTTTCAATGCAATGAATGGTCATCTCCTGAACGCCTGCCCATCCACCTCTAAAAGACAGACATAAAACCTCCATATGCAAGTAGAGTTGAATCAAGGCGTGTAGATATTAAAAATTGAATGAGTGTTTGGAAATGAAAAATGTGTTACGAGCTGTCTATGAATCCCCCCATGGTAATGGCTTGTACACCATTAAGTGGACCCAAGTAAGTCTTAGGACACTTAATGGCCATCACAGCACCAACCTCATCTACCACTTGTTTGTCATTGCATTTCCTACCCTTTGATGTATACATACATATATATATGTATGTATGTACATATATATATGTATGGCTGTATTTTCTTCTACACCTTGAGGTTTTTATTATTACTACTATTCCAAGTGTTCCCATATGAATTCAGGTGTGGTCTCTATATTTGATATAAATGTGTCTTTTATTCACTTTTACTTGCAGGACTTGTTTGGAGTCCAAACTGCACATGAAACGTTCCCCCTTTTTTCCTCTCTTTTTGTTTTCCTCTTTTTTTTTTTTTTTTTTTTTTTTTTGCATAAAGAAACATGTCCATTTTAGTCCAGAGGCTCTTGCTTTATTCGAATGACGGAGGGTGCACGAGATGTCCTTCTGAGTTCTCGTCTCAGTACGTATTCACTGAATTGGGAAGAGTCCACTCCACCTCCACACGAGCCAACAATCTCAAATCCTCTTTGCTGTAACCTCTCAAGGACCTGAAAAAACAGGAAACAAACACCAAGGTTTAAGTAATGAGCAGACTGTCTGTATCTTCTAAAGACTAAAAAACCAACAACTGCAAAGATCTGTGCCTGTATTCAGACCAGTGGTAAAAACTAGAAAGCTTTAATGATGGAACTAAATCTCTCCAGTCATCTACTTTCCTTCATCTTCACAGCCTGAGTGTTGCTTCCAGTGGGAGGGGAGGGAAGGGAAGGGGAAAAGAGAGGAGGGGAGAGGAGAAGAGGAGAAGGGAATAGAAAAGTGAAGAGCAAAGGGAAGGTGGAGAGGAGCGGAGAGGAGCGGAGAGGAGCGGAGAGGAGCGGAGAGGAGCGGAGAGGAGAGGAGAGGAGAGGAGAGGAGAGGAGAGGAGAGGAGAGGAGAGGAGAGGAGAGGAGAGGAGAGGAGAGGGGTGGGCAGAAGGGCACGCACCCATGCAGTTCACCCAGCAAGCAGACGGGCTAAAGAGCTCAGGTCCTAGCACCACACTGCCAAAAGCATGCAAGAGCCAAGTTTTCCTCCACAACAAGATTCCACTGTTATTATTAAGTTTTCCTGCAACTCCTGTGCTCTTAACCTTGCTTAGACTCTGCTACTTTTCCCATGCCTATCTCTTCTGCTGCCAGGGCTTTATTGTCTCTCACCAGTAAGAGACATGCGACTTCTGTCCAGAAGGACAATACTGACAATACCCCACTGATGTTTAGCTGAAGTAGGGACACTTGCAGGGTTCCCTTCTGCTACCAAATGCTCTCACTGCTCTCTTCACACACCTGAAGGCAGGGGAATACAGTGTTTGTCCCACTGTACCAACAATTAGCACATTGGCTTGCAAGGGGAGGGTTGGGGAAGATGGAGGAGCAAGTTGCGTTTTAAAATGCTCGGAACTACAAGACATGCCATGCTTTTACATGCACTGCTTCAGGTCAGCAAATGTCTTTCCAAAATACAGTTAAGTTAATTAAAGAGCAGACAAATCTCAAGAAGTAGAAGGTGGAAAGAAGCCCTGAAAGAAGAACAAACATCAAAACTTCAGAGCAATTTCTGTTTAACGTGATCCTTAGCTTTTAACAACATTAAGTCTACATTCCCCAAGTATGTCTCAGTGCAAGCCACTGGAAAATACAGCAGGAGAAATTAGGTCCTGGGAAAAAATGCAATGGGTCAGGAATCTAGTTCAGCCTTGGGCAAATCACTGAGTCTACGTCTCCTTCTCAAGGTCTGCAAATAGTCACTGTCCTACATCACACTGTTTTGGGGATGGGGAGATGATTACGGCCACCAAAAATGGAAGATGTGGCATTATCAGCATGGGATCATCATCTGTCTTGAAGTCTATGTACGTGTTGCCATTTTTACTTTTTATTGTGAAATAGGCTTGGAAATTCTTATTTGTGTGATAAAAACATAAATATCGGGACAAATGCTGAACTGCTAAACGACAAATTGCTTTGACAACTCTCATACAACATGTGGCTAGACAACTCTCCTTGAAATTCATATCCCTTTTCAGTTATAATCTTGCATGTAGCGGTGTTCTAAATTTGCATTAGTCACTATGACAAAAGAGCTTTGATGTTTCAGTATGACCATGGGGCCAGTAAGAGGCACAACTGTCTGACCGTAGCATGCATTAACCACATCTCAATAGTTCAGATAGATCTGTCCGTATTCCTGTGTTGCAGTAGCACATATGCAGCACCACACAAGCCTTCAGCACATGCTGCCATGCTCAGCCCTCCTCTGCATCAGAAAAGGGGGATAGAATTTTGCTACCTGGAGGCAGGACTCGGTAGCAGGAAGATGTCAAGCTCAGATGGCAATGCTCTTTCAGGTAAGAACTTGCTCATGAGTGTTGAGCGTAAGGAGGTGCAGCTAAACCAAAGACCATCATAGAATCATAGTATGGCTTGGGAAATGACTACCCAGCCATGAAAAAGCATTTCACTCCAAAGTGCTGGTTGTGCATGATGTGCTAACTAGTTGCAGATGGGTGTGAACTTTTTTCCACTGGAAAATTATATACCAGTTTTATCACACTTGTGTTAACTTCCCCCGTAGTGCTCTGTAAGAATTCTTCACATTGCATGTCACCTGACAGTCCCATTGAAAGGCCAAAATCCCACCAGGATGCCCCACTTCAGGGTGTTAAAGCAAGTTTTCAACCAATGTAACTTGTTTTGCGAAGAGATTTGGTGATGATGCGTGAGAATTAAGATGAAAAAGCAGCCATAACCCACAGAAGTAACTAGCTCAGAACCAGCAGCTGGTTTTGTTCATGCAATTCCCAGCAATGAGAGCGAAGCACATCAGCCCACAGGTACCTGGTCGGTAAGCTCTTTCCTACCTGAACTGAGTTGAGGTGGCAGTATCCGTTCAGAGGAAATCTGATGACATGCGTTGAGTCATGATTCCAGCCGGCATTGACAGAATTACACATCACATCACCAATCTCTGGAAACACTTCTTCTATCAATGACTTATCGCCACTCAGTGTAATCCTCTCACCGAGATCTGGGGCAACACGCACCACCAGGCATTCACAAGATTTTGAGAAGCGGCCACTCTCCCGGTCTTGTTTCCACCTTTCCATCTCTCCTAGCATGGGCTGAAGCTGGAAATACTTTGCTTCTTCGTATAACAAACTGTAGTCCTGAAAGACACGTATGTTACTGTGCACAGTTAGGAAAGAGGCAGTGCTAATGTACTGCTTAATGTATACGGTTATTCAGGCTAACATTGCTCTAGCTCTGGAACCCTTCAGACATAGCTCATAAATACTGTGTAGGAAGGTGTAATAAAATAACAGCGCAAGCAAAAAATAATAATAAAACCATCAGCTGCTTGAAACAGACCAGCGTTTGTAAGGGAAGGGGGAAGCTGCATTTGCTCATGCTGTGGAATAACCCAGGCAGTCACATCCCACTTTTCCCTTTGTTTTTATTCCAACAGTGATGTCATAAGATAATGACCTCATTAAGCAGATGGAACTGAATTCAATCAGGATTCAGAAAATTCATCATTAGGATCCATTCTGTCTTACAGCAATACTGGCAGCCACTGTAACAGGTATAAGAATGTAAATGAGGGAGCCTGCATTGGTTCAGTGCAAAATGGTTAAGAAATTTGCATAATAAATTGCACATACTACTGCATTTAAAAAAAATAAGGATCTTTTAGGACCTCTCCATTTTGCCAACAGTATTGTTCACTACATCATTTCACACACCAGAGCAGAGAGAATGCATTTCTGAGCATGGCTGTACCTGTCGGTCTGAACTTTGTCTGTCATCGCATTTTAAATAAAAAAACATATATTACTGATCTAGGCTTAAGACCATAAGACAATTTGGAAAATATTTATATAGGGAAAAAGAAATACAAGAGAATTTGGCAAGGCAGAGGAATAGGAGGACCAAATAAGAAGGCTGGTAACAGTCAATACAGCCCTAAATTTCAGCTACAGACTGAATACTCGATGAACATGGGAAACCTAAATCATATTCAGAATACTTCCTACTGTCTAATGAAAAAGTAATCTAACCTATACATTTCTGAAAAATGAGTGCTGCAGTTCATTTTAAACACATGTTTCAAGCGACTTGCAACACAAGTGGAGAGGATCAGAAGTTAACATTTTTAATTTCAGCAGAGCTACAGCGTATTTATGTTGTTAAAGGTCTCTGCATATATAATTTCTTAATACTGCATGGAAAGTGGCTTTTCCTTTTTCAATATTTCTGATTACCTTCAGGACAAGAGCAGAGAGCAGCACAATGCCATTCTAAGGCTTCAAAAGAGGGGTATGACTCTTATCAGCTATTTCTAAACTCCCACATTATTCAGGTAGGTCTGCCCTTGTCATGCATGGGAGCAGTACACATCTGCAGCAGAAATTCAAAGATTGCTCTTGAACTCAAGCTCACACCTGTTATGCCCCAAACACCTCAAAATGTCTCAGATACAAAAGATAAAAAAAACTGCACTGCTGTGTGAACTGCTCTAACCCTTCCACAGCACCACTTCTGTTCAGTTTGAATTGCTGTATGTCCTATAGTGATCCAATCGCCCAGCTGGCCACATTGATGTGCATTCATAAATAACAATTAAAATCTCTTCTAATTGCAACTGTTGTCTCCAACACTTACTACACTGACACCACAGCTACACCAATATACCTGATATACCTGCAAGAACACAAAGTCTGAAGCTGTGCATCTGCAGGCTGATGTCTAGGTGAACTATCACAAATTTACTTTGCTATTAAAAAAGAGAAAAGCAGACTCTTTAATAAAGATTAAATAAACCAAGAATCTGGAGGAGAAAACAGTCTATGACATAATGCTCAAACATTACCATGTGTGCAGTTTATTTTGTCAGTAATACGATTCCCAAACAATTTTCTGAATTTCAGTGTGGGAGTGGAAGCAGGAGTTGTTTCAATCCAAAGAGAACCATAAGAGAAGACTAGAAGGCAAGTAACCGGCAAGGCTCATGAGAAGCTGGTTACAGATGCTAACATCCCTTCTGTCTCCTTCAGTATATTATGACTTCTAATTTCCCTAGGTCAAACATGGCAAGGTTGCTCCATTACACTACAGACAAGGGGATAATTTAACACTGATGTCGCTCTAGGTAAGCCTGACAGATGCTATGGCAGCAACACCACACTTAGTTTTGCAAAGTACCTGAAATCAAGCACCATATTTTAGCTGTGCCCCCTGTCTAGGATTCCAGTTTGATCACAGATTCTTGTTTTACTGAAGTACATGCAAAATATCCAAGTCCTTTGAAATCTCACCTTGAAATCATCAGGAATGAGGAGTTTCGATGTTCTTAAAAAATTCAAGATATATCTGAACATTTGCCCATCTCTGTCGATGAAATAATGCTGCTTGAGGCTGTCGAGGACGATGGGCTCCGTGCCATCAAAGAGTCTGCCGATTCTGCAGAGGAAACAAGAGGCAAACGTCAGGGTCAGACCATGTGCGGCTTGGCAGTGATTGGGAAAGCCTTCTGCTCAAAGCCCTGTTTCATAAGAGGACAACCCTTGAGTATTTTGGGCATCTCTCTCAACAGCAGATCCCATTTAGGACATATCTCCCAGTGGCTTCACCAGCAAACCCCATCCCACTCTGCTGCAGCAATCTCCTCCATCAGTTTCATTCTGCTTTCTGGGGGAGCACACGGTGAACTTGATATGGCTTAAAAACTGCACTCAGGAAAAATTTTTTAATTATTTCTAATGTATTATTAATTTACTTTTAAACCCAGATCACTTTTTGGATGCCATTTACTGCAGCTAACACTTAGACCAGCATAACTGAGGGGACAGCACATTGTAGGAATGAGCAGCTAAGGATGTAAAAGATATCGTGTTTAAATGGGAGGTAATGATTTCACAGTAAAACTCAACAGTTTGTGGCGAGTATCAATCACCAGGCTCTAAAATAACCAGAAGAAGCACCTCAGCTTTTAGAGACCACTCAGTCACCCAGAGAACCCAGAAAATCTCACTTGCTAAAAAAGCTCGTAACAGCAGCTGCTGGTTGAACACACACTTTCTACACATGTTCCTCACAAAACCTGATTTAGTCGGAGCAATGGGAAGGGCTGAAAACTGGGAACAGAACATCAGCCTCAGTAACAAGAAATGCATGCTATGTTTCTGTGCTGAGGTGTTTGCAAACAGCTCCTGAGTCACTCACCATTTTCCAGTGAAATCAAAAGCAATGACAGGTATGTCTGACTGGGAGTGCATGTTTACGTGCCTATACGTGCATGGGGAGGTATTTTTTGATTCTTCATGACACCACCCACCCCTCCAAAGAACTGTAAACAAAATGGTCTCAAAATAGCTAACTTGTGATACGTCACGTGGACACTTTGCATGAAATACTACCGACACATGAGTATGATTTTAGAGCTTTGTCACAAGCTGTTGCATTCTGCAATATTCTGCAGACTCTGTGCCTTCATTGTTTTAATGAAAAGGCTCATTTGTATGTAGCTCTTGTCCTAATATACACAATCTGATCTGTGAACCAACACGAAAAATCCTATGCATTTTGTTAAGGAACAGTCAATAACATCAATGTACACCAGCATGGAGCTAGGTGAGGCACAGGCACTCTTTCCCTGATCACACCCAGCTTGTGACACAGGCAATGTACACGACTGTCTTTTCACAAACAGATCCAGCAAGCACAATGAACAACCACAGCACACTGTTTTCCTTTTAAAAGAAGATGTGAGTAAACAACCATTCTTCATCACCACCCTGAGGCTGCTTTGAGCCCTCAAAACCAAAACCCAAACTCAGTGTAACTCAGAGGCAGTCAACCTCTGGTTCATTTTCTTGTAGAATGGCTTAGGTTGGAAGGAACCTTAAAGCCCACCCAGTCCTCTCCATGCCATAGGCAGGGCTGCCACCCAGCAGCTCAGGGCCCCATCCAAGCTGGCCTTGAGCATCTCCAGGGATGTGGAACCACAGCTTCCCTTGTGCCAGTGCCTCGCCACCTGCTCAGTGAAGAGTTTCTTCCTCAAGTCTAATCTAAAGCTCTCTCTTCTAGTTTAAAGGCATTACTCCTTCTCCTATCACTGTACTTCCTGATAAAGAGTTCCTCCTCATCTCTCCTGCAGACCCTTTGAGTACTGGAAGACCACGATCAGGCGTTCCCAGAGCCTTCTCTTCTCCAGACAGAACAAAGCCAGCTCCTTCAGCCTATCTTTGTAGGAGAGGTGCTCCAACTGATCATCCTCAAGGCCCTCCTCTGGACCCGCTTCAAAGCTCTACATCCTCTGCTGTGGACTCCAGACCTGAACAGAATACTCCAGCTGGGGATTTACAAGGATGGAGTAGAAGGGACAGTGGCCTCCCTGGCCCTGCTAGCCACCCGTCTTTCAATGCAGACCATCTGGACTGCAGACTTCCAGTTTGCTAGAATAAACCGCTGACTCCATTTTTTCACCCACCAGCACCCCAAGTCCTTCTCCAGAGGGCTGCTCTAAATCCACTAATTGCCCAGCCTGTACCCACATTTAGGATTGCCCTGACCTCGGGGTAGAATGTGACCCAAGGATGCTCTGCATCCATTTGAAATGTCACAGCCAACCCAAATGGAGTCTGAAATGGCATCCATGAGCACAGCAGGCATCCCTGTAGTACATTCAGTAATAAATGCTGCATATTTATATGCACATAATGCTAGAAGAGGTGAGACCAAGAAAGAAATAAAAACCCATTAACCTCAGCGGGCCATTAAAAACTCAGAATTAATTCAAGTGGCTTGAAATCTGTAAGATATAAGAAACTGAACACATTTTGCAGAAAGATCCAAGCAGCACAAAACAATTTCTTCTCAAAGCTATCCCTTAGATTAGAACAATTCAAACTTTCTTCCACTGCTACTTGTTACTGCCTGCCCCAACAGTCAAAATGTAAACTGTGACAGGCCATATAATGCAGGCTCCTGTTCACTAGATGGATGAGCAATGTTTATGTCTAATATGGAAACATAAGGCATTTAGATTTAATTTTCCCCCATACTCAAGCATGTTGTCTTGGAATCTATCACAGAATACACACACAAAACATATACATTTGGCCAAGTCAGTCATTACTGAAATGTATAATTGTAATTGGTTTCTGCAGCATTACCCTAGTTCTAAATTACTGTTATAATTATGTATTTTAAAACCTCTAGGCTTTTTGCCTTCATTTTATTAATTGTTTAGGAGAAAAGTAAGATATTATCAGAGGATGGAGTCTTCTGACAAAAATCACAGAGAGCACCAACACCTGAGAGCCAGCCCAGGTGGCCTGGGAGGGAGAGCCAACAAAGTGCCACCTTTGAGTGCAGCTGCTTTCCAGCAGCAGAAAAACTCGAAGAACTGCAAAGTGCCAACTTCATCCCCTGTCCCCTCCCCAGATTCAGACTGCAACAATGATGCTCTGGGAGACTTTTGTAAATAAAATGGTAATGGTAGCTTTCTTTTTTTTTTTTTTTTTTTTTTTTTTCAGTAGAGAACAGCAATTTCCAGCTTTGTGGCCCCTCCAGGGTAAGGCTTGTGATAACTGAGTGCCCAAATCTGGTGGCATGGCCTAAGCTAAATTTGCTGCACCTGCCAGGAGAAGAGACAGAATGGAAAGAGGCACAGCAGCAAACTGTGACTGTGCCCTGCCTCATTCTGCACCCTGGGTAATATCTAAGACCCTCTCCTCTCTGTCACTCTTCATTCTGCTTGGTCTCATGCTGAAATTACAAATGCTTAAGTGACACCAGGCTGCAGGCATGAGATGGGACTGTGAAGGCATGTTTCACTTACCAAGAAAAACTGGAAGATGTTTTTCCTCATCTCTTTCTAGACAACTTCAGCTGATGATTGACAAAGATAAGTTTGTTTTTTTCACTGCCAAACACATAAGAACTGAATGGATTTCCAAACAGCAAAGTACTTTGAAGGATGCTTGCAAAACAAAGTGATAATTACATGGAGAGCTAACCAAATATCAAGGGTAAAGGATGAAAAATTGTAGTCCATTTACAAGGCAACATACTTCTAAAATGTTTAATTAAAGCTAACAGGCTGGAATTTTCTGTATATAAGGAAAATTAATGTCCCATGGGTTGAAAGTGCAACCTCCAATGGGTAATAATTAATGCTGATGGCTTTAAGTATCATAATCCACTGACAGAAATCGAATGCTTCAAGGGTTGAAAATATAACCAGTGTAAAAGTCAGCTCTCCTCAGAGAACTGGGTTTTACTTTAAGGACATAAAACAGGTGCAGCCACAAAGCTGGTGCTGTGGGGGGAAAAAACAAAGATATGCTGAGGAGACCAGTGCTTTACTTCTATAAAATACTGCATGGACCCTTGTTCCCACAGCCCAGTGCTCGCATAACAGCATTTCTACAATAAAAAGCAAGGGAAGGTGACACCACTTACAGGATGTCTCAAATTCTTCAGAAATGAGTCCCTTTTGTCAAATATAAAAATACACTCAGTCTGCAGTGAAGCTGTTATACACAGCTTAAGTGTTTTTATAGCCTTGTTCTCTGAACATACAAATACTTACATACATTGTTATACACAAAAAGAGTCTTTTCTTTAGTATATGCTGCCTTGGATGAGAGCTTGGGAAAGAAGCAAAGCCCTTTGAGTGGCCTGGCAGAGATGCATGGGCACACCATCAGTGGTGTCAATGCACCCAGTCCTGGGACCCACTGAGCTCTGATACAAAGTATTCATGGAAACACATTTCTCTTCTTCAAATAAAGGACTGCATGGCAGAGAATTTAAAAAAGGGGAAAAAAAAAAAAAAAAAAAAGAGAGAGAAAAAGAAAGTATTTCAGTTGATGCTTTACCTGTTTGGGCCCATAGAGACAAAACGAACACGGGTTTTCCTATCTCCTCATTACATTTACGTGGCTAATGCAAATGCTTATTTAAGACTCCAGGGTGTGCAGACAGTGAGTTTGAAGAGGCTTTCACTTTTTTTTTTTTTCTTCTTAGTCCACATTGTCCTTATTAATTTCTTTTCATTTTCTTTCGCTGAGCGCTCAAAGGCAATTTGCATAAGAGTCCATTATAAATTAGATCTGTTTAATGGTATGCTCATCTCATGGCTATTTAATTTTACTTCCTTGTATGTCTAAATTACATAATATTGCACTCTCCCCTAGCAGCTAGTACTTTCGAGGAGGTGGCCACACCAGGTAGAAATGCTGTGCTAGCCAAGTGCAGACTGACTGCATTTCTATTATGTCTCAGAGGACCACGCTAGCAGTCACTACCTGCCCATCTTATTCTGAACACCTCATGTCACTTGGATCTCTGAATACCCAGCAACCTTCCTAGCTCTGCATAACAAAAGTTGCCTCATAAGCATGACAGAAGAAAGTTAACTTTGCAATGTTCACTAACACATACATTATGAAAAC